AAGCTAGAACAATTTGAGCAACAAAATAAAGTAGTATCGGAATACAATACAAAGAATAAAATAAATACCATTAACCCATGGATATAAATGACTGAATAAGTAAATGGAGAAGAACAGACAAAATCTCTCCTGTAGAGAATCCCAAATGGTTTAAGATGCTAAGCCTTCAAGGAGGTGGAATATGATTCCCCACTCCTGAAGTGTGGGCTGTGCATAGGACTGCCTTCCAAAGAGTATGGAAAAGAAGCAAAAGAGTAACTTCACAGGGGAGAAACCTGACAAACACTACTTCAGACAGGTGGTCAAAGTTAGTTAGCATCAGTAGTGATAAGTTGTGTTACAGTATATTCTTGATATAATGTGATAAAAATAGTGCTTTATTTCTGTGATCTTTGTCCCCCAAGCCCAGAACTCCAGTCTGATCATGAGAAAAGTATCAGGCAAATACCAATTGAGGAATATTCTATAAAATATCCTACCAGTACTCCTCTAAACTGAAGTCTAGAGAAAAGTCTGAGAAAACTGTCACAGCTAAGAGGAACATAAGGAGCCCTAACTGCTAAATGTTTTGTAGTATCCTGGACTGGATCCTAGAATAGCGAAAGGACATTAGGTAAAACAAACAGATAAACAAAACAAAACATAAGGAAATCTGAACAAAGTATGGACTTCATTTAATTATAATGTGTCAGTATAGGTTCACTGGCTGCAACAACAAATGTATCATATTAATATATGATGTCAACAATAGAGGAAACTGGGCATAGGACATATAGGTATTCTCTGTATTTGTGATTTTCTATAAATCTAAACCTGTTCTGAAATTAAAAGTTATTTCTTAAAATATCAATGAAGCCATTACTCAGCTTAACTACACTGTTGAAGGGAGAGTGGTCCCTCTGGGATTAGAGTGTGGGTATGGGATTAAAGTATGACAATCCAATTTACTGTGCACCTAAGTTCCTGAATTCAAGGACTGGAACCATCTCTTCAACTCTAACTCTCTAGAACAACAGAAATGTAATGCATGCAAGTCACATATGTAATTCTAAATTTTCTAGTACCCACATTTTAAAAAGTAAAATTAGCTTTAATATATGTATATAGTTTTAATAATATTTAGCCCAATATATCCAAAATATTATCATTTCACTCTGTAGCCACATTCCAGCGTTCAGTAGAAACATGTGGACATTACAGTTCCAGAGCCACATACATTTTAAGCAAACCACAGTATTCATAAATAAAGGCAGACTTCTGAATTCTCCACCTACAACCACTACAACTACAAAGGCCAAGAGTTAATCATGGAACATTTACAGTTTCTTCTATTCACGGCTACGTCTAGAGGTCTTCAAAAGCCTCCAAGGACCGACATAACTAATGAGAGAGACTTGAGCATTTTCTTCCAGAAAGGACACCTGTCTTGCCCCACCACTTTCACTTCTCTCCCTGCCTCCCTCCTTGATATCCTGAGTTCAAAGCCCAATTTCATTTCATATCCCAAAGAGCCTGATCACTCATATCCTTTCAAATGTAGGCATCAGCAAGAGAGATCAACCTAACTCTAGTCTAGGCAGAAAAGGAAGCAAGAATTGAGGTCCAAGTTTCCTTTAAGAGTTCAATATCACAAAGTCTGAGAAGCTGGGTCCTACCTAACCCTACCAATTGCTGTCTTAGGCAGTAGCAATAGTACTGCTAATAGCTAATTTATCATGCACATTTTCTGGGAAGAAAATTGTGCTAGTGTGTTCCAGGCTTTCTTTCATTTGATTTTTTACAACATTGTAAGGTTGAAGCAATTACCTCCTCTCCCCGACTTAAAGATAGAGGAAGCAGGCTTAGAAAGGCCAAGCACTTTGTCCAAGATTGCACATCTAGTAAGTAGCAGAGCAGAAATTCTAAACAGATCCAATGCCATGTGTGAATCTTACAAAATGGCTGGATTCACAAAAGACCATTTATCTCTCTGTAAATGAAGTAAGCAAATAATTGCAGAAGAACGTTGTACTTAAGATTCTTGAGGATGCCTGCCTGATGTAAGGGAACCTCTGCAAAGTATCCCCCCACTTAGGATTCTTCACCAAAGGAAAAATAACTTCACAATTAGTATTAGTTATGGTTTTCACTCATCTGTTTTCCTGACTTTGCCACAGAACTCTAATCATTAAAATTAAATTTCAAACACAGTGTCATAAAAATACTACCTAAGAAGGGACTGATCTGTTTCATTAATCCAAGTACTAACATTAGTTAAATTCAAACACTTCAGTCTAAGAGCAAAGTCTTTTTATTGTTTAAAACGTGTCACAGAGTAATCAAATTTCTTCTTTAAAATGAAGTTTTAAAATACTCAATCTTTTCTATTCTCTCTGGAGATAACACTTTAATACATTGTACATGCACAGCAGAGATTGAAGTCCATTGCAATCAATCCTACTCACTCTATTTCAATTTAAATAAGTTAATAAGTTGGGGGAATGAACTGCTCTGGCTGCAAAGTTTGCTCTGAGTTTAAACTTCTCAAATCAAGTAAATCATAGTTCATCTCCTCTAGGTCAACCACTAATGATGTCCAGAGAGATTATAATTACTTTTAATCATACTTTTTTTTAATGGTGATACATATTAATTTGTTAGTTCATAGACATATACCTGAAATTCCTAACTTCGTGGATATACTTTTCATCCTTTTCCATTTATCAATTAGAAACAGATTATAAAGGGAGCAAGCATAAGTAACTATTAAGAGGGAAACTACTACATTTTTAAGAATTACTATCATTCAATTAGGCAGGTCAGTAAGCATTCTTCCAGTGCCAACTACACAGTCTTCTTTCAATTCTGGTGAAGCTGCTATGTTTGGGCCTTACATTATATTGTATGCAAGGCCAGTCAAGGCTTTATTTTTAAGGAACTTAAATCAAAGGTTTCCTTCTATATGGTAAGAATGGTTACATTAAAACAAAGACAAGAAAAAAAATGAACTGTAACAAAATCTGTTTTCTTGGAAACAACTTTTACAACTTTGCATCCACGGATGACTTTGTTACTTTATATAAAACACCTTCCCAATACAAAATCTACAAGCCCAAACAGAAACTGCTTCTCTGTTAAAACTGTTACAATTAAAAATAAATAAAAATGCAACTGAAATCACAGGTCCTGATACTCTGAGACTCTGGGACTCAAGTCAAAGGAAGTAGTCTCCAGCAACAAGGATAACAAAAATCAAGATGGTCTTGGGCGGTGGAGAAAAGCGGAACTGAAGAGAAGAGACGAGGTGATGTATCATGAAGTGATGAGGCCATCAGCCACTTTCTCCACAAAAATCTCTGAGGCAGCAGAGCTCGGTGGTATATGCTGCCTTGGTTCTGTCCTCTTGTTCCCTCACTTGGGCTCATAAACCTCTTTAAGACATCATCCACCTCACCAGAACTAACTGGGACTTCAGGAGATGAGTGGGGTGTAAGTTCAGAGATCCTGGTTTCAAGCAAATGTCCCTATTAATAGAAAACAGGTGGGGAGGGGGAAAGAAAAACAAAGAAATAAAGGAAGAAAATTATTTATAAACACACAAGTTTGGGGGAAGTAGGGAAAGGGAAAGAGGAATGACAACTGAGGTCCTGCAGAAATGACTGCTGGCATCAAGGACTGACTAACAAGGTGGGAAATGGGAAGTTGCCCACCAGTTCACAAATCAGTGAGCATCCTCTTTTCTTCGCACTACACCCCAGAGCCAGGTAGGGCCAAGTCCAGACGATGGTTCAATTTCCCTAACAAAACTAAGCTAAAAGTAATAATCTGATCTGCAACTAACCACTCAAATTAAATCTGTACTTAGAGAAAGATAAATCCTAAAACAATGTCTCACATACAAAAAAATTACCAAATATCATATTCATATTCATCTGTTCATTTACTTAAACATTTTTCTGAGCCCTTTCTAAGTAAATGCCAAGGAAATCAAACATAGCGCCCACCTTCATAGTTGACAGTTTAGCATGGAAAGCAAGATATGCTAAAACACAAAAACAAGGGGCACCTGGGTGGCTCAGTCGGTTAAGTGTCTGCCTTTGGCTCAGGTCATGATCCCAGAGTCCTGGGATGGAGCCCCCAGAGGACAGTGGGCTCCCTGTTCAGCGGGGAGTCTGCTTCTCCCTCTCCCTCTGCCCCTCGCCCCCTACCCCGCCACGCTCTCTCTCTCAAATAAACTCTTTAAAAAAATAAAACACAAAAACAAAATCAATAACACTTCTAGATGGGATACGTGGAATTTTAAAAGTGAGCAAAATTATCCTGTACCAAGTGTTACATAAAACTAGGTTACAGTCTCCCAAGAAGGTTGAGAAATAAGAAATGGGGTTAGGGGTATGAAAAATACTAATGATTATAGCAGCTAACACCAAAAAAGGGCTTTCCATATGTTAAATCATTTAATCTCCATAACTCCACGAGAGACGTACAGTTCTCCCCATTTTACCAAGAAGGAAAGTTGAGAGCGGTTTAAGAAACTTCCGTTAAGTGCCACAACTTTTAAGTGGCAGAGCTGCTATCTGAATCCTGGTACCATGGCTCTTAATCCTCTTTCGCCTCATATAATAATAATAATAATATTACTAACAAAACAACTGGTTACTGCATATTGCAGACCTATGATCTAGGTACGTTCATTCACTCTCTTTGAATACTCACACCTCTATTTTACAAATAAAACAAAACAAAATAAAACAAAAAACTTAGAGTCAGAGAAACGTTCCCAAGGTTGTACAAGTAACAAGGCGGTGAAGTCCGGATTCCAGCCCAGAAGGCTCAGATAGGGTAAGCTCTTCTCACGGCACGCCACAACCCAGCCTGGACTGTGCCTTTACCCTCAACCAAGTCCAGCTCCATCGCTCAGGGAGAGCCCCTGCAGCACCTCGCGCCTCGGAGACGTTCCACCGCCCGCGAGCCTCGGCGCCCTCGGGGCCACCCCCACTCTGCCGGGTCAGTGCTCTCACCAGGAGGGAGTCGGGGGACCCTCGCAATCTTGCTGGTGATCTCTGCCGTGAGCACCGCGAAGTCCTGCTCGTAGCCTTCGAAGTCGGATGACATGGTGGCTCCGGAGTGATCGTCCCGGGCCGGAGCCCAGGTCGTGGCAAGGACCACGCGGGACAGAGGAACACGGCGTAAGGACCCCCGGAGGGGGCCTCGAGAGCAGAGTGGAGAATCGGGGACAGCTCCCAGCCTAGCCGCTTCCTGGTTGTTCGTCGCAATCTCAGTCCTCCGGAATTTGGCCTGTGCGCGTTTTTTATTGTCCGCTCGGGCTTCAAATTTTAAAAAAATTCGCGAAAGAAAAGCACTTCTTTTAGCGCCCCACAAAGCTTCCTAAAGCCTTCGTGTTCTCGGGGATCACTGAGAGCATGTTTTGCCCCTCCATGTTCTGGAAAGCGGCTCCGGCTCCCCAAGCTATAGATCCCAGAAACTTGCTTCCCGAGGGAAGTCTGATGAGGCGAACCTCCCGGAAGTGGCTGTCGCAAAGACCGCGCGCACCGGGCGGGAGCTGGAGAGCAGCGGCGACAGCGCTGGCTGGCAGACAGACTGGTCGCGGCAGGTGCCGCACACCACCCTCTTACAAGCAGGATTTGCTTTCTGCTTGCGCTGGACTGAGGTCCCCATGACGGCGTTATCCGAAGAGGAGAAAACCTGTTCCGGGTGAGCCCAGGCGGCCCCGGAAATGCGATGGCCGAGGAGCGGGCACCAAGGACCAGACTGAGGTGGGAGTCAAGGCAAGGGATATAACTATGATTTTGGCGGTCTTCGCCCCGCCCGAGTGAGCCCAGAATCTCCAGAATGTTGAAACCAACCACGCTTGCCAGAATGTTTCTCCCCTGAGTGACGATTTCTAAAAGCTGTGCTCCGTGACACGGGCGGGGAACTGAGGCACAAGGCAGTAGCATCTGTTGCGTGAAACTCCTTATTACCCTGTATCTGAGATCTTCCCTTGACTCACTGCAGTCCAGTCAGAAATCCTTCCACAGATCTTTCGACGCTCGCGGTTCTGCCTTCCCTGTCCCTCGCTCCGGAGGCACTTCCTCCTTTTCTCAAATAACGTTCATTCATGTTTATCCTCCCGTGTTCCTCGAGTCGTGATTTCACACATACACCTCTGTCTCCCGTCCCCTACTTTCACTCTCTCTTTGCTTTCACTCGCTCGCCTCTTTACGTTTGGCCCAAATAGATCCTTAAGTTGGTGTTTTGGGGTAACCGCAGGCAAATGTATAGACCGTGTCGGGCTCATACTTGACAAATCGAGACTCGGTAAAAGGCAGTTTAGAACTTCGTAAAAGGAGTTCGATGACTTGGTTTCTAGTCTAGGTGCAGCTGTTACTTGTGAGCTTGGTGCAATCACTTAGCCTCTCCGAGCCAATTTCTTTTCTATGAAGAAGGAAGCTGGATTCAGTCAACCCTAAAGCCTGCTCCAGCTCTAAAATTCTTTGTCTCCTCAAACCATTCACTAAACGTGGGACAGTCACGGTTCCCTGACAAGTTGAAAACAAAGGAATAAAAACCACTATTTTAGAGTCATGTATCCAGTTTATATGCCATCCAGACTTGAGCCCTATTTTGGATCAGATAAAAATAGTTCTCTTTGGCATTTGATAAGGTGCTCATCCCATAGTAGTGCACTTGCGAGATGCCTTTGTTTAGGTGGTTGTTGGAGTTAAATAGTATATAATAAATTTTTTTACTGAACTTTCTCATTTTGTTTTTTAGATTGGGTTTCAAGCCAAGATACTGGATTCTCCTAATTAAGATAAACAGCTCTGAGTGTGTAACAATGAAAGTGGCATAATCTGCATTAACATCCCATAGCTTGAAGGCATGACAGTTAAGGAACACACATGGACTTGTGGCACATGGAAATGTGTGCACAGAAAAAGGAAATCTATAATTTTCTAAAAGTAGGAAGACATTCTTCCTCACCAAAATGGGTACATTCTGCTCAGTTATCAAGTTTGAAAATCTCCAAGAATTAAAGAGACTGTGTCACTGGGGTCCCATCATAGCCCTTGGTGTTATAGCAATATGTTCTACGATGGCCATGATTGACTCTGTGTTGTGGTATTGGCCTTTACATACAACTGGAGGAAGCGTGAATTTCATCATGTTGATAAACTGGACTGTCATGATTCTTTATAATTATTTCAATGCCATGTTTATTGGTCCTGGCTTTGTTCCTTTGGGGTGGAAACCGGTAAGAAAAAGATCCCTTAAGATAAGGAACTCTAATGATAATCATATATTTAGTTTATGGTTTTATCTGCTAACCAATAGTATCAGACACAGCCTACTTTTTGCCTTGGTAGAGGCTAAGCATATTATTCTAATTACTAATCATTTAGAGCTCAAAGAATTTATTTTGTATCTGTTTGAAAATATTCATCTAAATTAGTATTTCCCAGAGAAATTTTAGTGAATACTTGTCCTGCATTAAAGGAAAAAGAAAAGAATGAAGGGGACTGGGGGGTGTATAGTCCTAAATTTAAGAAATACTCATGTAATACACCTCTTATAATTCCACGGTGCAGTTTGGCTCTAGGATCTTTTGTCATGTAATACATTAACAGCCCTCAGAACTGAGAAAACCTCTTTAGAAATTGCTGGCTTAAATCATAAAGTTTTAAAATCAATGTTAAAATCATCGCATAAGGAAGTACAGTGTGAATCAATTTGTGGCTTTTTAAAAATTGTAGAAAGTTTATGCTCATGAATTTCCATATTGCTTGCTGAGGGACACCACCTGATAGCTTGTTAGAAATGCAGAGTTTTGGGCTCCACTCCAGACCTAGGAATCAGAATCAGCATTTAACAAAATCCCCAGGTGATTCTTAGGTATGTTAATGTTGGAGAAACACTAATGTAGTGTACTATTTAAAGTGGGTACAGAGATGAGTAGGACAAATTCGTATTCTGAAAAACCTTATAATTGAGAGAAACCAAGGCACTTGTGTAAGTAACTAAACTATAGAGAAGAATGGGATGAGTGCTGTTGAAGCTAGAAGGACCTGATCTTTTTCAGCTGTGGACCTGAAGGAGGAGTGGAAATTTCCACGAATGGGGACGAAGACATTTCAGGTTGATAGGTGGTGGAAGCCTATAGTCAGAAATAACAGGTTACGTAGTACCAGTAAGGCTGAAACAAAGGCAGATTGCGGAAGGCCTTAAATGCATGAGGAATTGTTAGGCCGTCGGGAGGTAGGAGAGGTTTTCAAGCCAAGCTCTGACCTAATCGGAGTTGTGTTATAAGAATATTATTCTCACAGTAGACAGTTTGGATTAGAGAGAAACTACCGTAAAGGAAAGTAGTTAGAAGTGATTAAAATGGTGCAAGAGAGATTTCCTAAAGAGTATCAGCTCCAATGTTTGAATCCCCACCTCCAAAATACCTGCCACACGGTCAGCTACCTTTTTCCGGAACTCCTCCCATTCTACTAGGAGTTTGGAAAAGTAGAACCAAATACAATCAGTGGCAGTGGGTTTGGGTGGAGCATGGGGAAGAGAAATTAAAAATGAGTTCTGGTAATTGGAAGAGCAATGCAGCTGTTACCAGAAACTCATTATTTAAAAGTATTTCAAATAAAAGGACTGGAAATGCAAGTTAGGATTCCATCCTTATCCTCACCCCCCATAAAAGAAAATAAAACTGTACCGAAGCATTTATTCATAAGACCTGACATGTTATTACTTAGGATCAGACAACTGATAACTGATATATTTTTGTTTATGTTTTGCTACCAAGGAAGATTCTCAGGATAGCATGTACCTCCAGTATTGTAAAGTCTGCCAAGCATACAAGGCGCCACGGTCACATCACTGCAGAAAGTGTAACAGGTACTATCTTTGCTCCTCACTGGGGACTGATCAACTTGATTACTGGTCTTAATGTTCTTTCTACCACGTCAATCTGAGTTTTAGTCTCTATAAGGTGGCTTCTTTATAAAAAACATTGTCAAAATACTTGTGTTCATATCTCCATTTTATTCTTAAGTTATCAATTTTGATAATAAATAATCCTCACTCTTTTTTGTCATAAGTGAAAAGATTTTATTTATTTACTTATTTACTTTTTGGAAAAAATACACATTTACTTTGCTTCTTGCCCTGACAAGAGTAAAAAGTTATGCCTTCAAGTTGTTTCCATAGATCAGGATTAATTGTGCTTGTCTGCTGTCATCATGACTAGCTTTAGAATTGTTCTGAGTCTAAATTATAAGGGACACCTCCTGCCCTTTCCATCATTTGGGTTGAGTAACATTTACACTTTATGCATATCTAATAAATGAATTCACTTCATATTGTCACTAGTGTGTAATATAAAAAACTTAATGGGAAGAAAACTGAATCACTCTAAGAAATATGAAATAAACTAGAACCTTTTTAAATATACAGCTCTTCCACCAGTTAATAAGAAATTTGTGATGACAGTGTTGAGGTTTAGGAAAACCATTTGTGGCAAATATAGTTTGGTGTGAGGCCAGGAAATGTTCTTCTAGCAACAAGGGAAGGAAGCTCAGTAAGACTTTGCTTGTTATACCACATCTTATATTCCATAGTTAGCTTGCTTAGCTCAGAGAATCCACATCTAAAGGATGAGAACAGGAAGGAAGGAAGTTATAAGGTCTGCTGGGTCCCATCAACCAACCCTGGTAGAGATTTAGAAGTGATTTTGTTGAATCTTTGTTGTACTCCGGTCACTGCATTTCAGAGCTAGAGAAAGACCAGGAACCCATGCTTATTTCTTTGTCATGAACCTCTCAGTGGGCCTCTTGACTTCTTAAAACAAACTCACTTGTAGCAGACATCTTTTCCTCAGAACCTGTCACAAAGCCTAACTTTTCTCATGCTGTTTAGAATTTGAAAGAAGTCACTGTTCAGAGTTGTTTAAAACTCATAAAGACTTTGCTTTCTGTTCCATGGAGTATAATTCCTCTGAGACTCATGGACATGCTGGATTCCTATTTGCATGATCTTTTGAAGACCAAAATTATTTAAAGTAGACAGGATTTTCTGCCTCATGTTTTATGTAAATTTTTCTTGTTAGATGTGTGATGAAGATGGACCATCACTGTCCTTGGATCAACAATTGTTGTGGTTACCAAAATCATGCTTCGTTCACACTGTTTCTCCTTTTAGCACCACTGGGTTGTATTCATGCTGCCTTCATTTTTGTTATGACTATGTATACACAGCTTTATAATCGGGTAAGTGACTGTGTTATAAAATCATTTATGCCAA